GGACCAATGAGTCCTATAAAGGACTGAATGTAAGCCTTACCATTAGTCGACAGACGTTCCAATAATTTTTTAAGTATTAAAGATCTACTCGAACCGTCGAGATCCTTGATCATCAAGCACAAAATCACAGAGGATCATATGGGCCCATTGGCATTCATAACCAATGGTCGTGCAGGATCCCAATACAATTTGAACATGATTGAGATATAATGAAGAAAACATGTCCTAGGATAAGAACAGTGAGAACGAGGTTAAAAGTACCCACAGGAAGGACGGAACCGATGGACCTGAAGGGACATGGAACCGAACCCGGGGAGGGGCCGACGCCCAAACTAACTTGTATGCAGAGGGGGGAAAGGAAAACCCCCACTCCTTGTAACAGAAAGCCCCGCTCTGAGGGGTTAGAAAACCCAGACGGGGACCAACGGGGCCAAAGGCAAAGTCAGCTCCTTCCCAACCTTGGGAACCTCCACATCAGGCCCCCAGGGCGAGTCATCCTCCAAAGCCCTGGCCTCACAAGAAAAAGCTGGGGCAGCTGGAAAAGCAGGAAGAGAAGGGCAGGGGGGAATGGACTCAAATGCCTCCGTTGCCACCCCTGAAACTGCCCGAGTCTCAGAAACCTCTAAACTCTGCCCCGACTCCAAAGCCCTCAGATGCTTCAGAGCCAGAAGCAAAGTGGGGGGGGGGGGGAGGGGGGACAGAATGAACCACAGCAGGGGAAGAATGAGGGGGTGCGGACCGAACCAAGGCCGAAGCGACCAACACCCCCAAGTCTGGGTCCTGATAAGCAAAGAGGGGCAGCCTCAGGGCATCCGGTAAAGCAACCATCCTAGCACGTTGCAGCAACCTATACCTAGCATGCAATGCCTGAGCCGTCTGCACCCGAATAATGTCATCAGTGGATTGGGTGAATCGAGTCACAAACAAGCAACAATGCTTGCAGGACTCTGGGTAGAAGTTGTCACCGACACAACAGGCAGCATAGCGGAGGCAAAAACTATGAGCATCGCGCCGAGACAATGGGGACAGAGCAACCTTCAAACTCGCCCAGTAGCCCGAGTACCCGAGAATAATACTCCCAGCTCACACACAACCGTAAGAGCAGTACTGGACACAAGGAACAGCACAACAGAGAATCTGAAGCTGGAGCTACATGACCGTGCCACAATCACATCAGCCGAAAAACTGCAGGGTGGATTGCCGGTGCGGAGGTCTGGGGCTACCCCTACCCCCTCCCGGGGAGGGGGGAGCTGCGCAGACATGCAATGCGACTCGGTTGATGTCATGCTCATTTTCATTTGGGGAGTTCTGTCCTTTTATTTGTCTATTTTAGTTGTTTTAACCAGAATAGTTTTTTTTGAGGCGCTTACCTTTCTGGGTGCCTGGCTTGGTCGATGGCGGACATTAAATGCTCCAAATCCCATGTGCATTCTATAGGCAATTGCTGCTCATGCCTCTCTCAGGGGGCCAGGTTCTGGCTCGTGGTCCCCGGTAGGCCTAGAACTCCATTCACACTGATACGAAAGTCTAATGATATACATATCAGCCTGGATAGCTCCAGGGAACCGTAGGGGGTCCCCCAGAAAAAGAATTGCTTCATTTAACATTGGTAATTAGCATCCAGAATGCACCAAAATCCAAGTAACAGGTCTTGTGTCTGTGTCTTGTGTCAGTAACAGGCCTAAATCTCTTGTGGTTTAGCTATACGTAGTGGCCTTGAGAAGAAGTGGCCTACTGAAAAAGAGTATTTTCAGTAGAAATGAGGTGAGGTGCCATATGGAAATAACTTTGCTGATTTATTTTCACTTTTTGATTTTATTTATTTACTTTTTCATTCTAACAAGTTGTATTGATGTGTCAATGGTGGTGTCCATTATACATAACTTTAAAAATATATAGATATATGAGTACACTGTACAGATATAAGTGTATAAATATATGCACACAATGTGCACACACAATTCACACTAATATACATATGTTATTATCATTATTATCTTGACATGATTTCGGGGCTTTTTAGTGTCCCCGCGGCCCGGTCCTCGACCAGGCCTCCACTCCCAAGAAGCAGCCCGTGACAGTTGACTAACACCCAGGTACCTATTTTACTTCTAGGTAACAGGGGCATAGGGTGAAAGAAACTCTGCCCATTGTTTCTCGCCGGCGCCTGGGATCGAACCCAGGACCACAGGATCACAAGCCCAGCGTGCTGTCCGCTCGGCCGGCCAGCTCCCTTATGTACAGTAATGTATGTACAGTATATATTTATAAGCTTAAATCTTGTAAGTGCACATAGCACACAGTTTGCCTGTAAATATATACACGGTAATCTTTCATTTGCTGTTCTTAAAAGTTCAATGGCTCCTAGAATGGCCGCCCTGTATGTTCAAACACTGGATGGCGAGGGCCCAGACAAAGTCTTCATCTTTCTGCTAAGGCCAGGGGCCAGATTCACGAAAGCACTTACGAACCTGTACATCTTTTCTCAATCTTTGGCGACTTTGTTTACAATTATTAAACAGTTAATGAGCTTTGAAGCACCAGGAGGCTGTTTATAACAATAACAACAGTTGAATGGGAAGTTTTCATGTTTGTAAACTGTTTAATAAATGTAACCAAAGCCGTCAAAGATTGAGGAAAGATGGACACGTTCGTAAGTGCTTTCATGAATCTGGCCCCAGAATAGGAAACTGAGGGACTTGGGATTTTTTTTTTTTTCAAAATGGGGGATGGTTCCTGGAGGCCTGAGGAAACAAATGTGAGCCCCCTTGTATGCATGGGAGTTTTAAATTTTATAACAGGCCTAAAGCAACCCTGGTTGTGGTGTGCAATTTAAGGGTTAAGAAAGTACACACAAGGCAGAAAATCATATCCAATTGCCAGCCACCACTGGAACATGTAACCATATATAAATCCTACACCTATACTTGACTAATAATAGCACCACAATACAACAATTAGCCACTGCACTTAACTATCACATGGAACAGTTACACCGTCTTGTTCCATCAACCTTCTCCAAATGAACGAGCATCAGTTCGTGTTGAGCCGGTACGCCACGTGTTCCAATGTGTTTCCCATTACAAATTTTTTTTCTTTTTATTTCTTATTGAGTTTAGAACTGGTTTTCTACATATAACACATTTTCCTAATGTTTTCCAATCACAGAATGTACTTCACTTGTTTATTTATAGAATAGCACTTGATTTTAGTACAGTATACTTTTTAAAAGGGCCAGTTCTCCCATGATAAATGCTCTACTGCACATGTGCAGAGCTAGCTGCTGAGCTGGCTGGAGTTTTGAAAACTACACTTATAAGCTCATTATAAGAGTCCCTTCTTTACATCACTACACTGCTTGCCTAATTATGTACCAGTCTTCCTTTGGCTGGGACTGTCCTTAGGAAATGCAGAACCCCTTAGATTATGTGAGGAGTCAAAGAAATGATCTTCCACACAGTTTCTGCTCAGCTGGACAGACTATGAACACTAAGGTCCTTGATAGTTATTGCCCCCCCCCTCCCCAATGCACTCCCTTTGCACCTTTCTGTAAGGTCAATAACACCACACTGAGGATAACTTAGGCTGCTCCTTGTGTGTATTGTAGTCTGTAATGCTCTTCAAAAACCCTAATTAATGTGCAACTGATGTTGCACTTTGAGTTGGGGTTTTGCAACTCCTGCAAAATTCAGGAGCATTGGCTGCATGCACCCATCCATCACTGGATCTTGAGGCTCAGTGAGCTTCCCTGCCTATTAAAAGTTAGAAACCTCGCTGCCACTGATGACCTTGTGTTATTCATTGGTCACTTCAAATAACGGCTACCAATCAAATGCCATCTTCTCATCCTAGTCTCGGTGTCCTCATCTCTGTTCCTCTAGGTGCCAAAAATGTCCTAACAGTAGTGCCTACAACTGCCATTTTGGAAAATGTTGTAAGCACCATACTAAACTTTCTGCTCTTAAAACTGAAAGCTTTAGTTTGTCAAAATTGCTGCAACTCACAGCCCTCCCATAACAAATAAAATCTTCTCTGGGCTGTCTAGTATGTACAAAGTGGGAAAATGTCTTATGAAGCTAGGAAAGGTACTAAACGAGACAGCAATTGTAACACAAGGCTCCACAAGCAGCTGCTGCTTTAGGTTCCTTTGGCCGTTTGTGTTCAGTTTTGTGCTCATATGGCTGCCCTGAAGCTGGCCCCATTTTATTTTGGAGGCTTAACTCTGCACTGTGTCCAAGACAAACCAAAACGTCGTTTCTTCATCTTCTGACGTGTGGTTTGGTCATCAGTGACTTGCCAGCAAAGTCTTGTTGCCATCTTTTATTCTGTTGATAGCACTAGCTGTTTGGTTAGCTTTACTGCCATGTTTCGCACTATGTATTGCCCCTGATATGACTTCAGTTTAGCAGTTTATATTTTGGTTGAATATGTTTAGCAGTTGGCACCTATCATAAAGTGGTATTGAATTCAGCATATTTGTATGTTTTTTAAGTTATTTTAGTTATATTTATGACACCTTTAAAATAATTTAGGTACTAATATACTTTGAAGTCTAGGCTTAAGTTAAATCATAAAAGTTGTCAACAGAGGTTTAACAAATTTTCAATTTAGGAAAAATTTGGCAACCACTCGAAATTTTGACATTACTGTACTGACAAATCAAGTCAAAAGGGTTCGTTGATCTGAATAAGTTACAATCAATCGTTATCAAACACATAATTAACATTTGCTAATCAAATTGTTTTAATCCAGTAGAGATAAAACAGTTACCCGGTATGATACCAAATTACACCGTGATTAGACTAATGTGTCATTGCTGCATTGAAAATCAATGTGTGCAATACAAGGATTGTACATTTTTACCAAAATCTACTTATTCCTTCAATTTATAAATTGGTAGAGCCATTTATCATTGTACCAGTTTTAAATGTCCACTTTACATACGAAATATTAATCCAGAAAACACAAAATCTCAATTTTAAGGGTACAAAAAAGAACAGTTGAATAATATATATAAAATATAAAATTTATTAACATAAGACAATGCATAATATAATAAACCTCAAATTAGACTGGCAAGAAAATCCCCAAGTGAGCTCTTCTTATCATCGCTATTATGTTTATGCATGTCCTTTAACACCGCATTCTTTAGTCCGCAGAGCTTCTTTTGCTTCTCTCTCTCCTCCTTAATGTTGGACTTTTCCCACCAAGAGCCTGGTCTGGAGCGTGGCCTCGATCCTATCATAAAATTTGATTTAAAATCTGCTGCAGAACTTGAGAGACTCGTTTGTGATGACTTGACAATGCTCTTCTTTACTCTCTCTGATAAGATTTTCTGATCAGTGCTAGATAAATCTGAGCTTTTGCTTTGATCAAAATTATTTTTTACAAATTTACCATGGAGTTTTTTATTCTTAAGTCTCAAGTTGCCAACTGATGAAACTATTTTCAAGGCCTCTTCCTGAGTGGGCAATGTTGATGAAAGCTTGCTAGCAGCAGGTGCAGCTTCAGGAACCTTGGATGCCTTACTCTGAACCTCTGAGGATGAGAGATGCAGTCCAGCATTTACTTCTTTAAACTTTTTCTTCTTCTTTTTCTTCCTTATTACCTCAGACTTCACTTCAACTATGGGCTTTTCTTTTACAGGAACAGAGCATAACTCTCTCATTTTATACTTACATATTAAACAGGATACTTCTATTATATTTTGTCTTGAGTGGAAGCATGATAGTTTCATCTTTTCTGTACAGGTCAGCTTGCGAGGATTCTTTCTTTCTTTTTTGAGGAGGGTTTTCATATTACGTGCATTCCGTGGACATCCCAAAAGTCGAGGTTTACAGAAACCAGCAATCCGAGGTGTGCTACATTTGGGACACTGAATATATCCTCCTACATGACGTCTCTTTCCTGTAACATGATTTCAAAAATAAATATCTGAAACCTCTAAATAATTAAGGTCTTGTTTATGATGCCAGTTTATCAATAAACTAATACAGTAGTATGTATTGAGCAACTGTATTTGTAAAATGTTGAAACTTTGGCGAGTGGCAATACCTAACCACAACTATATTTACATATACTGTACCTCTAAACTTCACATTAAAAAAAAAAAAAAAGGCAAGCACCCGTGAGAGTTGGACCATAGGAATTAAGATTCACACATCAAAACTCAAGTAAAAAGTTAAAGATAAGGAGAGTATAGATGATCAGTAACAAGCACATGGAAAATAGGCTTACAGGTTCCGGAAGATGAGAGGAAATGTCAGCACTGTGGAGAAATGCCCGACAGACCACTGGAACATTATCTAACACAGTGCACAGTTACAAACCCATTAAGATTTCAACTTAGATTCAACAAAGCAGAAGTTGTTAAACAAATGGGACAAAATCTTACTGAAGCGACCATACAAGTCAAATATTCATACTCCGCCCAAGTAAAACAGAAACAAGCAACACTTAGTGGGCCAGCCAGAAGCTTAGGGCCCGCACAGGAATATCCCTGCAAAAAAAAAAAAAAAAAAAAAAAAAAAAAAAAAAAAAAAAAAAAAAAAAAAAAAAAGTGACAAGCAGGCACAAAATCAAAGGAACAATGTACAAAATAATACTGTGTGGAAAGCAGGGCCAACCTGTGAGCCCTTTTAAGAAAAATGTTAGAAGTTTAATAAGTAAATAAGTAAATAAACCATTAATAAGCCATTATCAGCCAACCTGTCCTCCTACAAAGAACGTCACTTTTCGCTCGTATGCGTTACACAAGGTCAAAAATTGTCATACTAGAAAATGGAAGTGGCTCGAGAAAGCGACGTGCTGTCCTGTTTTCTGTTTTGGATCCTCTGGTAGGTTAAGAGAGGACATTTTAAATTGACCGTTATCTTGATGTTGGAAAACCTTAGGAGGATGGGCTGTATGAGCATAAAATGAGATTGAGAATTCTAACATCACTGGGATCAGCAAAGCATGAGGATGAAAACATAAGTGTAGAGGGGAATTCTGTCTTTTCCAGGAGGTTATCTCGAGATGATTTCGGGGCTTTAGTGTCCCCGCAGCCCGGTCCTCGACCAGGCCTCCACCCCCAGGAAGCAGCCCGTGACAGCTGACTAACACCCCAGGTACCTATTTTACTGCTAGGTAACAGGGGCATAGGGTGAAAGAAACTCTGCCCATTGTTTCTCGCCGGCGCCTGGGATCGAACCCAGGACCACAGGATCACAAGTCCAGTGTGCTGTCCGCTCGGCCAATCAGCTCCCAGGATACCACACACCTTTCAGAAAGTACGGAACAACAAGAGCAGATGGCGTAATGGTATAAAAGAGGACTTGACATCAAGCGGCAATAAGGAATTAAACATAGGATCCTCAGAATCTGAATAGTGCAATATATTATCTCAAAATGGTAGCAAACTGACAGTGGTAGTACATTACAGGGCATACACCACAACAGCAGAGGAAGTTACTGATCTGTGTGATGTGATAAATGCAGCGGCTGAAGCAAAGGCTTTTATAATGGGGGGAATTTTAACCATGGCACAACAGATTGGGTTAATCATAGATCACAAATGGAAGGAGAGCAATTTCTTGAGGTTATCTTGAGATGATTTCGGGGCTTTAGTGTCCCCGCAGCCCGGTCCTCGACCAGGCCTCCACCCCCAGGAAGCAGCCCGTGACAGCTGACTAACACCCCAGGTACCTATTTTACTGCTAGGTAACAGGGGCATAGGGTGAAAGAAACTCTGCCCATTGTTTCTCGCCGGCGCCTGGGATCGAACCCAGGACCACAGGATCACAAGTCCAGCGAGCTGTCCGCTCGTCCGACCGGCTCCCTTTGAGTTCTTGACAAGATTTCTTTTTTTTTTTTTTTACACAGATGGGAGTGAGCTCATTAATGTTAATGTTTGCAAATGATGCAAAATTAACCCTTAAACTACACATGGCATATATATATGCCATGAGTAACATGTCCCACCGAGCACATGGCGTATACATACGTCATTGGGTGCCAGGCACGATTCAAATGGCCCGCGGCTACACGGGGTTCACATCAGCTTCCTCAGGGCTCTTGTAAACTAGACACCATGTTTAAAAAAATCGTGGGCAATATTCTCCGGTGTGAGAGCCACAGTACTGTGGGAGCAACCAAGGCTGGTGCACGCAGCATGAGCTAAGAGCATTGTTGTTCAGCTTGTGACCACAGTATCGCCTAAAAATGTCAAAATAAATATGTAACTGCTATTATTTAGCGATGACATTATTACAGATGACCCCAGACTGTGATAAAAATGACCAGGATTGTGATAATAGCAGGATTGTTGTGATAATTAGCTCTGTGTGGGAGGAGTAATGCTGAGGGAGGGAGGGAGATTACTGACTGTGTGTCCACCTGTTATTGCCTGCATTCACCATACCAGCTTAGTGGTTCTCTATGGTGAACAGAAATGTAGATACTTATATATAATGTGTGTATTAGTGTAATAACAGCAAAAGGATTATGCTGGGAGGAGCCATTTGGGTGACGGAGGTGGCATCATCTGCATGACTTGTCTGTGTAGAGGGTGGCCACTATGCTCGTTGGGCACCCTACAGGCTTAGGTGTACAGTTATGGTGCATACAACATGTAGATACTTATATATAATATGTGTATATAGTGTAATAATAGCCCAAACAGTATTGTTGGGGGAGAAATTTTAGTGCGCCTGACCTTAACCCTTCAATTGCGCATATCATCATATGATGCTTTGACCGACTTGCAGTAAATTGCGCATCGCATCATGTGATGCTTTGGAGTACTACGCAAGATTTAAACGGCCCGCGGATACACGGGGTTCACTACACCTTCATCAGGGCTCTTGTAAACAGACGCCATTTTTTTTAAAAATCGTGGGCCAAACTCCCGGGTGTTAGGGGTCTCAGTATTGAGTCAGCTACCAAGCCTGACGCACGCAGCATGAACTCACAGCACTGCTGTTCAGCTTGTGACCACAGCATCGCCTAAAAATGCCATAATATACTTGTTCATGCTATTATGAAGCGATGATATTATTACAGAAGACCCCTGACTGTGATAAAACTGACCAGGGTTCTGATAATAGCAGGATTGTGGTGATATTTGGCGCTGTGCGCCATGGAGGGAGGAGTAATGCTGTGGGAGGGAGGATGATGGCGTTGTCTTTTGAGTGTGTTTGGCCACCTTTTATTGACTGCACTCACCATACCAGCTTAGTGGTTCGCTATGGTGAACACAAATGTAGATACTTATATATAACGTGTGTATAGTGTGAGATAACAGCGAGAGTAAGAGGTTGGGAGCCGCCATTTTGGTGAGGGAGGAGCGTCGTCTGCAGGACTTATCATGCTGTTTACTGATGACCACGATGGTCTTTGGGCACCATACCAGTTTACTTGTACAAGTATGGTGAATAAAACAGGTAGATATTTATATATAATGTGTGTATATAGCATAATAACACCACAAACAGTATTGTTGTAGGAGAAATATTAGTGCGTCTGGCCTTGAGGGCGGCCGCCACCAGCTGACTGTGTGAGTAGCTACGTCTTTGAGCCTTTACTCACCATACAAGCTTAGATGTACAGTTATGGTGAACAAAACATGTAAAATACTTATATATAACGTCTGTATATAAAAGCAAAAACAGTATGGTGGGTGGAGAATGGTGGCAAGTCAGGTGAGGTGAGGTGAGGGAGGGAGTGGCAGCCACTCAGCATACGAACTTAGTGGTTCGTCATGGTGAACAAAACATGCAGATACTTATATATAACCTGTGTATATAGTGTAATAACCGACAAAGTATTTGTTCACTGTTTGATGAACATAATTGAATCAACAATATGCACACCATTTTTTTGAGTACAGCGATGATTCACTCATTTTATTATATAAATATATCACACTACACACTATTGAATAATATTACAGCAAAAAAACTACGAAAAATCAATCGGAGACATTGAAATAATTAGGTAATTATCTCTTTGTGGAAACTCTGGCCTGACAGTTGGCGATCAACAGACCGCCTGGGACGCACGCTCAGTCAGCGCCTGATTTTTGCCAGAATTCCCCGCCCTATAGTGGGCAATATACGCCACTTACGATTTTTTTATTATTTTTCCCGTGATCAGTGAACACAAATTAACAGGTTAGGAAGAAAAAAATTTTTTTTTTTTTTTTTTTTTTTTTTTTTTTTTGGTATGCGCCTGTGGGTGTCAAATGGTATATAGCTATGCGCTATTTAAGGGTTAAATGAGTGAAGGGGGGCAGCCGCCAGCTGACTATGTGTGTGTGTAGCGATGTCTCTTAGTGCCTGAACTAACTATGCCTGAAGCACAGTTGTACAGTTGTGGTGAACAAAACATGTAGTTACTTATATATAATGTGTGTATATAGTGTAATAACTGTAAAACTATTTGTTTATTGCTTTATGAACGTAATAATTGAATCACTAATATGAACACCATACTTGAGTATAGCGATGATTCACACATTTTATTATATAAATCTATCACACTACACACTATTGAATATTACTGCAAAAAAACTAAGAAAAAATCAGAGACATTGAAATAATTAGGTGATAATATCTTTGTAGCAACTCCCACTGTCAGCTCGGGTGACACTAACCGCCTCTGACGACCGCTCTGTCAACGCCCACATTTTGCCAGACTTCCTCGGCTTATTGCGCCCAAAATATGTCACCTACGATTTATTTTTTTATTTTTTCCTGTGCTCAGGGAACACAAATTAACATTTTTAGAAGACGAAATAATTTTTTTGAATTTTTTTTCTTGCTCACAGGGGTGTAAATCTCCTCAGAACCCCTTAGCAGCTTAAGGATTAATAAGGAGAGACTGAATGAATCTGAAAAATACTTGACCTACAACTTTCAGCAAAGAGC